TTTGGAGCCACGAATACCTTAGAATATTATCTCTTGTTCTTTTTACCAGGCAAGATGATGAGTAGCCAAGTATTCTTCTTAACCTAGTCTTTTATCAGACCATTGTTCTAATACAAAAGTCTTGAACAGTTCTGGAGTGCAGTCACACTAGTGATATAAATGCACTTTATAAGATCAACAGCATATTAAAATTCAAGTATGCCAGTGAGGAAGAAATAGCTTGATTATATACTACAAATCCTTTTGCCTTTTTGTAATTTTAACATAGCACATAGTTGGCATTTTAGAACCACCATGTGACTCTCAACATTATAGGAGAATGGCAGTGTGATGTAACATGATCCTTTTGGTCTTTTGGAAGACTTAATAAAAGGTAGATGATATTCAGGGTGACAATGCATGGGTTATTTTTTGAAGCAAGGGGTTAAAATATTTGCAGTTTGATTTATGTTCTGTTCAGTTTTATAGAAGTTCCATCCTTCAGCTTTATGTGGTTTACCCACTTTCAAGGACCTTCTTCTTTTCTCATATACCACATAGCAGCAAGATAGACTTTCTAGCAGTGTCAAACAGTCATTTGCCTTCCCTTTTCATAGAATCATTTGGGTTGGAAAACATCAAGTCCAGCCATTAACCCAGCAGTGCCAAATCCAGCACTAAACCATGTCCTCAAGTGCCACATCTTCGCATCTTTTAGATATCTCCAGGAATGGTGGCTCAGCCACCTCCCTGGGTAGCCTGTTCCAGTGTTTGACAACTCTTTCCATGAAGAAATTTTTCATAATATCCAATTTAAACCTTCCATGGTGCAACCTGAGGACATTTCCTCTTGTCTTATCACTTGTTACCTTGGAGAAGAGACAGACCTTCTCCTGTCTACAACCTCCTTTCGGGTAGTCATAGAGAGTGGTAAGGTCTCCTCTGAACCTCCTTTTCTCCAAGCTAAACAACCCCAGCTCCCTCAGTCACTGCTTGACAGATTTGTTCTTCAGACCCTTCATCAGCATCATTGCCCTTCTCTGTACATACTCCTGCACCTCAATGTCTTACTTACAGTAAGAGGCCCAGAAATGAATACAGGATTTGAGGTGTGGCCCCACCAGTATCAAGTGCAGGGGTACGATCATTGTTCTAGTCTTGATGGCCACAGTATTTCGGATACAAGCCAGGATGGCACTAGCCTTCTTGGCTACTTCGGCACACTGCTGGTTCATGTGCAGCCACTGTCAATCAGCCCCGTTAGCCTTTTTGTCCAAGACACTTTTCAGTCACACTTTTCCAAGCCTGTAGCGCTGCATGGGGTTGTTGTGACCCAAGTGTAGGACATGGCACTCTGTTGTCTTCATTCTTATTTGCCCATTTTGGTTGAATATTTCACTGTACTTTCAGTGGGAGGCTACATTTAAGGACATTTAGTATTGTAGCTTATATCAATTTCCTAGTTTTCCCTCCCCCTTTTAGTCCATTTTTAAACCCTATCCTGACTCCAAATGAATGACCTCCATCAGTTCCCCAGCTTGATGAAACATGGTGCATAGCTTTCCATTGCAACTGACTGGTGATGCACAGCCACGCGGCATAGTGCAGAGTCCTGGTTGCTGCAACTAGTCCACACAGTACAGCTATGGTGTTTTCCATCAGTACCTCAGAGTCAGTAAAATCTCTAACATCTCTGTCCTTTCTTCTCAATACTACCTCAGCTACCTCTGTGTTGAGCTGTGTTTCTGGACAGTCTCAGGATGTTTATTCCATTTTCTCAGCATTTAACCATTAAGGGACGAGCGATGGAAATTACCCACCATCACCATTTCATACCTGCCATGTTGACTAATGTTTCCCTGGTTTGTTAAAACAAAATATTGATGATTTCCACCTGGAAGCCAGTTTGCAAAGTCCAGATGATTTCTAAGGATTTGGTATCAGATGTATATATATAATATTTCCTGTTTTGAACAGGATTTGCCTCTCTTCCCCTTTGTGTTAGTTGGAAGAGGAGAGCTAAGCATGATACCTGTTTCTGGCACAGGTCCAGTGCTGTGTTTGCACCCAGCACTGCAATGCTAGGCTGTAGCTCTGGGACCAGCAGAGTTTCCTGCAGGCTCTGCAGACAAGGTTGGTCTCCTTTGCACTTTGCATGCTCCCTTCCTGCAAATGCACTGTGGCTGTTCTCTGCAGGAGACTGCTGTGACTCCTCTGAGGAGTCAAAGCTGTGATCATCCTGTAGAAGACTGATTGTAGGAGTATTATGGCAGTGGAAAGGGTCTTGGTAGCAGATGAGAACCACAGGCTTTCAAAATCCCTCTTTCCAGAGCTCTGACAAATAAATCCTTCCTTCTCCTAAATGCTGTAGTGTTAAACTGGTCCTGTCTGGTTTGTTAAGATCCATTTACTCCTTTATTGCAGGCATATATTTATTATTCCATCGTGTGGATCTGTGAGCATAAAAAATAACTGGTATAAGGTTTCTTTTCCTTACTGACAGATGTTACCCACAGACAATTATCTGGTAGGATAGAGGGCAGCAGGTAAATATTTGTTTATACATTTAGAAGAGTGGCTAGGCTAAAGTCTAGTCTGCAACATCTGTAAAAGTGAGGCCAGCAGTTGGTAAACAGGCATGTGTGCAAAGCTTTAACGGGCCCAGAACATCCAGTGCTAATTGAGAAGGAACTCACAAAGTCATTGGGAACTTCATGCACTTGGTTTATGAGCTGTTAAATTTCTTTTTCCCTTTCTTTTGTCACATTACTTTGGAAAATAAATTTGTTCAGTCACAGTAGAAATCATACTTTACAAATCATGCTTTGCTGATACATCCATCAATGCCTTTCAACCTGTCCAGAAAGTTTGAAAGCAGTCTGTAGGCTGATGTTTCATGAATTTGCTAGTAGATGGAGTCCCAAGTAACAGGCACTGAGGGAAAGCATTCGAGCAAGCATTTCCAGACTGGTACTTCATGTATTTATTGCTATTAAAAAGTCTGTGGGCTAGCTTATCAACAACTTGGCAACATCACTGAGATTAAGTTATTTGATCTTTCCAGTTACTTAGGAATGTGTTGTTTAGGTAGAAAAGCTACAATACACTACAGCACGGCATCCTATCCTGCTCTTCCAGCTCACTGTCTGTGTTGATTGTACTGTGTATCATTTTATTTTTTACAACATGAATGCACTAAGTTTTATTTGACATACCATTTTTCTCACAAATGTCTTATTTTAGTTAATGCAGATAACCAGCTAAACATTTCTAGATTCCTCCATTTTAAATACATTGAAAAAAACCATGAGTGGAAGATCTCATCAAAAGATGGGCTATTTTTCCAGGCATAGTTTCAGCAAAATAACCTATGTCACATTCGTATCATAAATCCAGACATTATTAAGAAAGATAGCTGTGAAATATAATTCAGTATGCTAATAACTAGACAGATTAAAATACGTAATGTAATTATTATAATGTTATTGTGATACTATTGTAATTACTTAGAATTCTCACAGAGGTTATGGTAATATAAAAAACCAATCTGTCAGCATTACTGCAAAGATATATGTCAGAGAAATATACCAGATATATATCAGAGAAATGCTGCTTTTATACATTGAAGTATTGCTTTTTGCCCTCTTAAGGCTGAAGTACTCTCCTTTTTGTATATTCATTGTGTGCACCTGTGCTATTTGTAATTGGGAGGAACAGAGGCTATGCTGAACACTTTATTGGGGTTTAATTTGGTAATGTAACAATAATCACACGTTCCATACAAGTCTCACATTGTCCCTTGGTTTGTGCCTTCTCCTTGCCCCACTTCAGGACTGCTGTGCTAGTATAGAAAGACCTTTCTCCCTTGACAACATCTCCCATCTACTCTACAGTCAGGCTTAGCAGTGTTCTGGTACACTCAACACCACCAGGTGCTTCTTGTAAGTGCTGCCAGTCTATAGGGCTGTGACTAGAGCACTGTGGTTTCTGCTGCTACTCAGAAGAATCACTGAAAGATGCAAGACTGGGAGACAAAAGAATTCAGATTGTCCGAGTTTTTGCTTACTCAGTTCTCCAACACCTCTTTAATAATGCAAGGATTTTGAGGTTATGGTTGCACCTGGATTAGGCACCTGTCTATACCCTTAGGCTGTGTGGATCCCAAATAATGCACCTGTTTACAGAAACTGAAATTACCTGACAGAAGTCTCTAGCTTGGCCATGCATTTGTCATATGTCCTATGCAAGTGTCTAAAAGAAGAGAGTCTAGTAACACCAGGTTGGTGGGTGTCAAAAGTTTTTAGCCTTATAGCACAGCATGTCTTCTGTTGCAGACATGTCTACTTGGATGCCTCAGTAGACCGAGATACATTTTCCTATGGAATTTCACAGAGAGTCTAAGTATATCTCAGGGCTTTCCTAATGCACCCTCTGATTCATTGCTTGGGTAATGCATCATGTACATGACCTGTGCTGCTGTAACAGTAGTGAAAATTATGATGGGATGCTTCTTCGATATAGCTCTGCAGTCAGGAAGGTCATCCTTCTTTAGCAGGAATTTTTCTGAGTCCATGTTGAATCTGGCATAGGAAATCTGTTCCTAACTGCTGCACAGTGTACCCAGCCAGGTTGCTAGAGAGACTAATAGGCACATATTTGTGCTTAGTGCTTTTTGTGGATGAAAAAAAAAAAGGCACGAAGTGTTAAGGTACATTCTGTGTGAATTGAGCTAGACTTCAGCAATTCAGCCACTATGGAAATTTGCCCATTTTGCCTATTTGTAAAATAATTTCTAGAAAATGCTACAAGTTATAACAATATCCATTATGTCATAATCTGTTCATTGCATCTGTCATAAAAATCTGCATGTTTACATTGTTTCATATTATTGCCAGTTAATTTGTGTTTTCTATCCATGTTCAATTTGCATTCATTAACTCATAGCTTGCTGGTAAGTCTGTTCTTTCTATACATATTCAAATAAATTCTTTAATTCAATTTCTCTGTTTCTTCTCATACAGTCTCACAGCCAGATATGCAACTCAGTCTAATCACAGTGGAATTGCAACCAGTCAAAAAAAGGCTTCTAGGTCAGTTAAATATCTCTAATTTATTGCTTGTTAGCGATACTCAAGCAAGTATATGCCCATTGATATTTTATCCTTTGGACTTAAGCAGACGCTGAACTACGTGTAATTTTTGTTATGTGTGCAAGCTTTGCAATGATGAGCTTTGCCACGGAAAAGCCTTGTGTCAGTTGGAAGGAGCTGATTTGTACTGTACATCAGTAATATTTCTGGTTGTTATTTACCCTGCATCTTTGTATCCTGCATGTAAAACATTGGATGTGAAGGATTAGTTGGTGATTTTAGTGCTCTCTATTCTCTGGCTCAAATCCTGGCTTTAATCATGAGTGAAAAGAAGTTTGGGAGTCTATCTCAGTTCCTACTAGATGTTTTGCCTGTATAGCAAACCTACCTGAAAGGTTGAGTTCACAAAGCCAAGTTTATGCAGAAGTAAAACAGAGTAGAAAAAAAGAACTACTTCCAGGACTCCTGTTCTATCAAGACTAGCCTGCACACAGTCTCCATGAATGAGTTGCTTTGTTTTGGCAGTGAATTTGACAGAGCTGTGTGTAGGAGCTGACCTGGTTCAGATATCATCAGTACTTTTAGTCTGTCATTTCCATGAGCACTAAAATCTACAAGCCAGATTGCAGAAGAAAGAAACTGAAGTCTAAAACTTACTCTTGTTTCTAGCTTGATTTTGGTTTTGTGTTGGTTTATTTTATTTTTTTTTTGAGGTGGGGGAATAATTAATGTGCTAATTAATTATACCTTTGCTGTACAGTTCATTGGTGAGATCAATGAACTCTAAATTGCATAATCTACAATAAAGTTTGCGTTTTGCAGTATACAACACTAACACAATTTGAGTTGCTGGTGATAGCTTGAAATGAGCTATATCACAATCCAGTTGCTTTGCACCTGCGTTTATTGGTCTTCCATTTTCCTTATTTCTGATGCTCCTGTCTTGTCCACATTCTACATGTCAGGGTTAACAGTCTTATTGTCTAATACTTTAAATCTGTGGCAGTGTTTCCGAAGCCTATTCAGAGGTATGTGACTTGTCCTTTATTTGTTATACTGTTCTTTGCATTTCCTTAGCTGCTTAACATGATTCTGCCAGAGCAATTTAAAACCTGAATTCAATTAAAAAAGGCACCAAATGAGGTAAACTGGAAAGTGTGTAGAGCAAATGATCTCATGTATAATGTCTTTACTGTATCAAGTTCTCAAATTCTGGCATTCAGATTATATGCAGAACTATTTTATATTTTAGCAGATGAATTTCCAGTGTTGCACATGCCTTTTCATTACTTTTTTCATTACCTTTGACAAATGATCTCTGGGCTCTTACTGCCTGTCAAATTAGGGCAATGGGAAGGAGCAAATGGATTTTCAAGTTTGTTTTAGTGCGTTCTTCAGGGAACTTGAATTCATGGGTCATGGTAAAGGTCAGTCTGTGTACAGCTGCAAAGCAGAGACAGTCTGCTCTGGGCTCAGCACAGAGACTAGCAGGGCAGGCTGGCAGCCAGAATGAGCCATAAAAATAACTAATGGATTAGCTCTCTGAGGCTTAAACTGGTAAAGAAAGAGAACATGGAGCTGTTTACATAAGTTTACTAATGAAAAAAAATTATTTGAACACTTCTATTATACCAGTATATTAAACAAAAAATATTTTGAAGAAATCAAATGTTTTGTACTTCTTTGTAATGTGACCTTTTTTTTCCTGCCTTCTGATGCTGATCTTTTGTAATACAGTGAAAGTAACAGAATTCAATAACTCTGGTATAATTTGTATTGCTGCTATTAAAATAATCATATCATTCCAATCAGTGAGAAACAGAAGAGAGATGCTCTTCTCCTATGGCAAAAGCCTATGGCTGGTTCAGGAATTTCATTTTGTCTAGACTTGATAACAAAACTGGATAGGAGTGGGGATCCCCACAATATGCTGCAGAAAGTTTGAAGTAGCCACACATTAAAGAATCTTACATCAAAAACCAGGTTCAGACAGAAAAAAAGATGCAGGCTTGCACACATGGACAACAGAGTCTACAGTTTTTTGCATTAGCATAGTCACACAGGTTCAGATGGTGGCAGCAAATACTAAGAAATGAACCATATAATCTACATTATATACTTCTGTCTAAAAGGTGTAAATGTATCTGTAGCATCTAGACAAAATATGTATTTTCAATATTTTTCATTTAAAATAGCAAGAGGGAAGTACTTTAGCAAATAGCCTTCTGAAAAATAGCTGAAGATAGCTAAAAAGCCAGCTTTTATGCTAAACACAACTGTGAAATATTTACTAAGAGTAAGATATATGAAATATTTCTCAACTATGTATTGTTGTGCTTTCTAATCTAGTTCTGTAACAGTTCCTCTCCAAAAGTGACAGATTTTAGTAAAGGTTGATATTGCACTTTAATATTTGTTAGGGTGAATCTGTTTTAGCAATGTTAATGGCAAATGCAAAGCATCTTCTTACATGTCTTGTGACTCTTGAAAGCATCTTTTTCCCTTTTGTGTGCGTAAGGATAAGCTTTTATTTTCATTTGTGGAGTCTAACTAATTTGAATCCTCCTGTTTGTTGTTGCTTACCTGAATTAATTATTTTCAGTTGTTGGTTTTAAATTCTGGTCTGATATTTGCATTCTGTCTCTGCTGTATGTTGCATTACATAAAATGAACTGATTTCTCACTGTAACATTCCAGACTTCCAGGACCCTCAAGGGTGCCAGCTGCAGGCAGCAGTACCAAAGTCCAGGGAGCTTCCAATTTAAATCGAAGAAGTCAGAGCTTTAACAGCATTGACAAAAACAAGCCTCCACAATATGCAAATGGAAATGAAAAAGGTAAGTGATTAAAGCTTACTAAGTTTACTCAACATAAAAGAAGGAAATAAAAAAACATCCACAAGGGACGAAGAAGTGAATGTCATATTTAGACTTGATAAGGAAGACCTATGGAAATTTAGGCCTGAACTAGGACTTGTGGTTTAGTTGGGCTTAAAGTTCAAAACTGACAACTTTCAAGATGATATAATTATATTTTATCCCTCTTTGATGGAAATATCATTGGGTGATTTTTCCAAAATACAAATGAGTCCATAATGGATGCCTGTAATCCTGTTCCATATTCAAGTCTACCATTCCCAAGGAAGACTGCCATAATTTTCAGAGGACTTTGTATCTCAGCCTCTAACAGAGAAGAATCAGAATATTATATTTGCATCAGAATGTTATGTGTCTACTCTTTCATAAACTTACCTAGCGTTTCTATAATCCTGAATCGAGGATTGGAAATTAAGCATCATGAAATTTTGCAGGGATTTGGATGCAATGCTCATGTTTTATTGCCTCCTTTAAATATGAGCTTCCATTACAGCAACAAACTGAGTTCCTTAGGTCCTTTGGTTTCTGCCACCCTGCCTCTATTTTCCTGGAAAATGTGCCTCTTCAGGCTTTACCTCAGAAAGAATAATGTAAAAATTCAGCTTTTTGAGTTATGTAACTAATCCATTCCCTTCCCCCGCTTCTTTCTCCCTTTGAGTAATGAACAGCATTTTATTCATATCTCTGGGTTAGAATGCAGTTGAAAATGATACAATATACATAGTAGCCATTTGCATCCTTGGGGTCTGTGGGAGGAACAAGTATGCAGTGAATGTTCTTCATCCAAGCAACAGGCAGCTATCCAGATTTTTTTATGAAATTCTGATGAATACTTTGCCCCTAGCTGTCTCTGAAGATATAAAACCATCCTTTCAATAGTTATTTCTTTATTTTTACTATCAGGGTTGAATGTTACAGATAGTTTCATAGTGGGTTTTATTTTACCAAGGACTTGTTCATTTCAAGACATCCAGGCTAAAACAAGAAAGTGATCAGAGTGAAAACTGAGCAGACACTGTATAGTTCACAAATACAATAGTGAAGTTATGAAGTAGGAGATGTGGCTGCTTGAGTGAAGGTATGTACAGCAGTTTAGATGTTCAGAATTATTTCTTAATGTTGACATATTTGCTTTTGAAATATGTGAGTGAAATGATGCAAGGTGAGACATGCTTGTAGATATTAATATTCTTAGCTCATTACTTGGAAACTGTCTTTTAATGCTAAGATTTGCACTGCATTGCACCTTTATGTGGCTTTTTGCATGATGGATTTCTTTACTTTTCCATTTCCTTACAGTAGAGAGCGAGAACCTTGATGAGATTTTTAGTGAAGTCATGTCATGGTTTAACCTCAGCTAGCAAACAAGCCCCACTCAGCCACTCATACACACCCACCAATGCGATGGGGGAGAGGATCAGAAGGGTAAAAGCTAGTGTGAGATCTGCTTAGCAATAGCAAAAACATCTTTGCATTATCAACCCTGTGTTCAGCACAAAACCCAAACATAGCCCCATACTAGCCACTGTGAAGAAAGTTAACTCCAGCCCAAACCAGCACAAGTCATCACTTGCAGGAGGATAAGGAGTGGTTTTTTTGTGTGTATAATCATTCAATTCAATGTACAGGATATACAAGGTGTAATGTTGCATAACTACAGAGTACTATATTTGGGTTATTTCCATCTGTCCTTTTTTTTTCCTATCAAAACTGTTGAATGGATGGAAGAACATTGATTTTACATGATAATCAAAGCCAAATGCAAGTTTGCTTTAGTGTATACAGCAGAAGTTCATTAGAGAAAATGACTGATGTGAGTGCAAGGCTAGCAAAATTATATTTTTTTAATGCCCTAAAAGAAATTGAGAACCTTTATTTGTGTATACTATCCTGCTACTTTGTCTAAAAACAACTGAACCATGCTGTATTTTAAATTTAATTGTTATAGTGACTAATATTTCTAATATTACAATGACATTTCCAAGTAGTTTTGTGATATTTTGTAAGTATTTGAGGATGTTCTGTACCCTGATAATTTTTGAAGAATTTGTTTAGAAATAAGCTTCAAATCTCTTTTTTTTTTTTTTTTAAAAAAAAGCCATCATATGTTGACAAACTGATTTCTCCTTACAGTGCAGCACACATAATAGACCTCATATTTCAAATTTTTCTTCTGATGCAGATGCTTGGAGCAAGATAACTTTAACAGCTTCCATTGAATAGATACAGTCAATATGCTCTAATTTCTGAGACATTGTTCATATAGTAAATAGTTTGTAATTTTGCATTAGTGTTTTATAAACTGGAGCGAAAAAGAGATGACTTGTGTTAGGTAAATAGTCATTAGAGATTGGGATCTCCAAACCTCTTCAAGGGCAGCCCTCTCTTGTTGCATTTTTCTCTGCTGTACACCTTTCTGTATGTGCTACAGGAGACATTAGAAAATATATGCAGCATAAGGTTGTTGGGGTTTTTTAATCCAGTTATATGTAGTACTTGAAATTAATTCCTGCATAACACAGTTTCCAACTCAGTCACAGTGGGGAATGGATATGTAGTCACAGAGTTAAGGGAGACCTGAAAGTCATCCAAAATAGGATGTGATAGTGGCCTTTTATTTAGTATTTCGTTATTTAGTCTGTCATTAATATTATCTCCTTTGACTGTTACTTAGGGAGTAGTTTGCACAGTAAGAAACCTAGCTCCCCTGGGCGAATGCTGGTTTACTCTTTACTGAGCAGAGCTTGGTTCTCACTGAGACCCTACCCACTGCTGTGACACAGGTAACTGTGTGTAGCTCTGGTTAAGTCAGAAACACACAATGCCCCAAAACATTAAACAAACCATTAGCTGAAACTTATTTGCGGAGTTTTAGTAACATTTTTTATTTTTTATTTTTTTTTATTTTGCAGCTTACAGATCAATTTCAAAGAGTGTTTGTTTTCCAGACATGTCTGACGTATCTGCTTCTGACTTAATAACATAAAGATGGAAATAAAACTCGGAAAATTAAACTATTTGAATAATTATTCAGATTGCTGATAAGGTGAATACCCAGGATGTTTTGAGTACAAAGAAGTGATGCTTTAATTCAAGTCACATTTTAAAAACAAATATTTACCCCTTAGGTCTTAGAAATGGTGTGTCTGAACACTGAGAAAGGTCTCTATGTCATTGAGTTTAATTTTCAACTTTTCAATATCATTTCATAACATAAAATATTGCTTATGTGTTGTCCAAACTCAGTTTTAATAGTATTTGGTTATTTTGCCCATACCTACTCTGAGATGCTCCGTCCTGCAACTCTATTGTCTGATGATGCAATTGTTGTTCATCTCTGACCAGTATGTACATCAATAGCTAATTTGTATATGTTTCTTCTGGTCCCAGTATTTTTCCAGTTGCCCCTGGTAGTGTTCTCCTCTGGCATTGATAAGGGTTAGCTATTTTCTCATGGACAGCTGAAAAGGGAGAGTTGAACAAGCTGAATTCTTTTAATCTCACCGGACAGACTTCACATTCCTCCAAACATCCTTAGCAACCCCTTTCAGCTCTTTCGTTGTCTACTAACCTCTTTTTGTGAGTGACTAAATATGGATAATCTGGACACCTACATGCTACAGAATATTAAGATTATCATGCCTAAATATGCTGCAGTGGGGGAGCTGTTGACACAGAGGTCCTGTCTTCTCCAGCAGCACAGAACACAGCAAAGATCACAAATGAGAAGAAGAAGGAGGTTGACTGTATATTGGGCCCAAGTTAACTCTTCACATGTCCTTTATTTGTGCAACAGTCAAATCAAGTGGACTTGAAAATGTCCATTCAAGTGTCATGGTCTTGCTGGGTTCTGATAAAAATTTCTCTTTTTGCACTGAACAACTGGGGATGTTGCTGCTGTGCTTTTACTGCAGAGGTTGGGCTGAACTCTGAAGCACTGAGCCCTGAAGCAGAATGCAAAACTGTTTTCATCACAAACTGAATGTGTATTTCAGCAATAAGGGGGTTAAGCCCAAAACAGAATACTATCTCCTTGTAAACAAGAAATAAGAAATTTAGAAATAAGAACTCCTTGTCATAGGTTGGGTTCACTCTGTCTCAAAATCACCACAAGGTGGGGACATGTTTCACGTAATAAACAGCTAAAGTCAAGTCCAACTGAACGTGCAGAAAGCAGTTAATGATCTGTAGCTTCAAGTAATGCATTTGTGCTGGGAAGGGAAATTGACCTTTTTATTCCACATCTTTTAACATAGAGACAAGTTCTCAATATTTCTTGAGAGTGTGCAATCCACATTCCTAGCAGAAGTATTAACGATACCCTTTAAATTGAAGCTTAAAGGCAAGTTAAAGTTCTCTGTAATTTTTTGTTGCTGTTTATGATTTGTGACATAGGGATCAAATGAATACCAGTGATTCCTGTGCTTTTTTGCTATATATGTAGCAGAACAAGATGTTGATGAAACAGTAAATATATTTCTTTTTACATTTTCCCCCCAAATGAATTTATTATTATAGAGCAGGAAATATGGCAAGGCGTATATTCTCTTTTTAATCAGAACGCTTTTTTTATGATAGTAAAACTAATAGCCTGAAGCTGTACAAATGTAACATGACTAATATATAACAGTGTAGTGGCATCCCACTTTCACAGATTGTTGCACAGATTCTTGTATTCTTCATTAGCATTTCATATTCTTCTGGAGAAATGTTCTTCTGAAAAACTATTGGTATAGCTTAAGGCCCAGATCTTCCTGTGTATTTATGGCAAACTTACTGCAAGACAAGATATGTGCAAGAAGGTCCTTGTGCAAAACCAGCCCTGGGCTATCAACCATGGGACTGATTCCTCCAGCATTTGAGGCTCGCCAGACGATAGCAGGGGCCCGTTGCCTCTTGTGCTATTGCTTGGCACCACCAAGGAGAACGTGGCTCCATCCTCTTTACTCCCTCCCTTTAGATACTTACAGACATTGATGTGTTCCCCTCTCAGTGGCTCTTCTTGAAGCAGCAAGGGCCCAAGTCTCCCAGCCTGTCTTTGTAAGAGAGATGCTTCAGTACCTTAATCATGTTTGTCACCCATTTAGCACTGTGGGGTTTGCATATCAGGCTGAGGAGCACACAAAACCCCCCAGACAGACGAAATTATACAGCATCTATTGAAAGTGGAGGTGTTTGGGCTGCTGGAACTAGATGTTAATAGAGTTTAGCAAGTAAAAGAGTTACATCTGTCATGTTACTTTTGCTTTGATATTATTTTTAAACTAGAACTTCTTAATGCCACTCAGAGCAGTAAATTTTGCTATGTTTACATTGTCTTTGTTAAAGAAAAAACAGCTCCATTTTTACTATGCTCAAAATCCTGCCTTTCCTGAATATATTAGTGGCCTTCAGACTTCCAGATGGGTAGTCTAATCCTTACTAGGGGTTTAGGACTGAGACTGCAAAACCAAAAATGACACACAACTTCATACTCTTTGCTGATGGGACAAATGTTTTCAGTGTTCTCATCTACTATATTATTCAGATGGGAGGGCCCCAAGGTATGACTTTGGCTCAATGTGTATATGCAACAAATCAAACACTCCTTTTGCCATTACATGAACTATATTTGCATTGCATGTTTCATGGGGTTTCTTGTAGTACAGAGTTCAGTATACCAGAGGCAGGCTTACATCTAATTCCCTGACATTCCCAATACTGAACCAGAAGACAAGGTGGATCCACTATAAGAAAATGTCATCTGCTGAAATAGCTGTGTACCACATATTTGCTTGCCATTACCACTTCATTTCTCTGGTGCTCCATAATAATGGTGTTTATATACTCAGATATGTCTTGAGAATCTGAACTTAATACAGAAGAACTTAACCCTTTCATACTTTGGTCTGTTTTGCTTAATAAAGCTAGATGAGTTTTTTGAAAATCACAGATGTTAACCAGCATAGTTTGATTATTGCAGAAGGATTCTTGTTCTCATTCATACTGAAGACACACTGAAGTGAATCTTCATTCCATAGGAATGATGTAAATGTAGTGAAGGTCCCAGAGCCATGTAAACAAGCCTTCTGTACCTACCTGAGCTTCAGGCCCAAAACAACTATCATTGCTGTACCCATGCAGATGATATATCTCTGTAATTTTCAAGTACTGACACTGGTGAAATTGGTGATAAAATTTTTCCCACCTATGAAGGTGTACTGGGATAGATTCCTGAAGTCAACTACTAAATATTATTAATTGTACTTAAAGCTAAAAAAAATATAGCCACCTGCCTTTCTTGCTTTTAGGAATATTGATTTTATCTGTTTAATTTCAGTATTACTCGGTCCTGCTCAAAACCTTGGCTTTCTAACACTGTTTTTCTTTCACTAAACATTAAACCTATCTTTGTCCAGTTTTATTTTTCTACCAGATTTGTAGCATTCTTTTTTCTTCCATGTCTCAGTGTCTTATTATCAACAAGTGATTAGAAGAATTTCATATTAAAGATAAAATCTTAAATTGGAAGGCTTGATTTGCATTATGAAATCAGTAGAAGGAAAGTGTAACTTCCAAGGTTTTCTTGAGCTTATGGATGATGAGCAACATCATGATGGTAAGAAAGAAAGGCATTTTTGGTTAGCATCCTTCATGTTTTGTGCACATGTAAATTATGTTTATTATAGATCACATGTAAGTGTGTTTTAAATGCCAGAGGAGTATGGTATCACCTTCAAACAGGAGATGGGACAGTAACTATACCATTATTTTTTTTCTGTTTTTAAAGCAGATTCACCAAAAGGCCCTCAGCCATCTGCAGGCATGAATGGAAATGTGCAGCATCCCACCAGCACTGGGCAGCAGCAGGTCTCTGCCATACCCTCTCCAAGTGCCAGCAAGCCTTGGCGCAGCAAATCCATGAATGTCAAACACAGTGCAACCTCTACCATGCTGTCTGTGAAGCAGCCTAGTCCTGCAACCTCCCCTACTCCAACTTCAGATAGGCTCAAGCCACCCCCTTCTGAAGTTGTGAAGCCCCCTTCATCTGGACAAAAATCTATGCTGGAAAAATTCAAGCTGGTTAATGCTAGGACTGCTCTGAGACCTCCTTTGTCACTGAGCTCAGGACCCAGTGACAGTGGGAGAGAGGATGATACCTTTTCAGAGTGTGGTGAAATGGATGTCTTAAGTGGTGGGGTGAACAGCGGTGGCTCCACAAGTAGCAGTCCTAAAGTATCACCGAAGTTAACCCCTCCGAAAGCTGGCAGCAAAAATCTCAGCAATAAAAAGTCTTTGCTACAGCCAAAGGACAAAGAGGAAAAGAACAGGGACAAAAACAAAGTTTGCACTGAGAAAGTAGTCAAGGAAGAGAAGGATCAGGTGACTGAAACATCTACAAAGAAGAGTTCAAAAATTGCAAGCTTAATTCCAAAGGGAAGCAAGGCAACAACAGCGAAGAAGGAAAGTTTAATATCATCTTCTAGTGGGATTCCAAAACCTGGATCAAAGGTGCCAACAGCAAAGCAGAGCACTTCCTCCACATGTACAGGAAGTAAGGAGGCTGAAAAACTGAGGACTACAAAAGGAAACCAGTCCCAGTCAACAACAAAATCTCAGTTTAGTGAGAAGTCTTCTCCTTCCTCTGGTCTTGCTTCTTCTGAAGGGAAAGAACCAAGTGCAGTTCTTACTGCAGGATCCTCCACAGCTCTGTCAGCCTCGATGGGTGCAAGCAGCGGCCAAGGCACAGGAAATGGTGTTGTCCAGCTTCCTCAGCAACAGCAATATAGCCATCCCAACACTGCCACAGTAGCTCCTTTCATTTATAGGTAAGGTCATGGAGGAAATTTGGTTTTGTTTTACCATTTGGGAAAGAGAGCTAGAATGGATGGAGTGGTACATCATGGTGTTATGGGCCTTTTCTTCCACTTTCTGTCAGAGCATCATGCCAATGTTTTCCTAGTATTATTTTTTAGTTAATGTTACTGTATGAATATTTTCTTTCAAGGACTCTGAGTTTCTACCTTGTACATAAGCAATTCACTGTAAATATTGGCCATTTTAAATTCAGTGTGCTTTGATTAGAAATACAAATCACACGGTGCATTCTCTGATCTGATTTTGAAAGGTCATGGCTGAGTCAGGTTTCTAGTGTGAATATTCTTGTTTGCATTCTAAGAATCTCGACATTTATTTGCTGATATTCAGTATTATTTGTTTAAAATACACTGTTCTCTCAAGAAATCCTAAAATAAACTGCTGATGTTTTCAGAATGTGGAACAGTACTGGTAGGCTATTTGAAGAAAAACCATACACAAACTTTTACAAATATTCAAAAATATTTAAACAGTTTGGGTACACAGAAAAGGTTGCTGCTTGCAGGTCCTGCTTCTGTGTAGTTTTTTTACATTAACTAGGTGTAGGTTGACTCCATGGAGGCAGTTAATTTTGACACATGATACTAACTCTTCAGTTGGCCAAGACTCTGGAACAGACGAATGAACAGTTAAATGTAGCAACTTTTGTCTGAATTTATTTTGCTTTATGATAGAGCAACTGAAGAGAAGCTGAGAGATTTCATTTTCCTACAGCTCAGAAGGCAGAGGAAGTGTACAAAGACTGGCAGGCTGGTTTGAGTAATGATTTCAGATGTCAGCTGTTGGAGGGCTGTAGCTACAGTTGTGGGTAAATTTAACATCAGATAAAATGACAAATACCTTATTAAGCAAAATATACTGGTGGGTTATGTTAGTGAGTAGTACTCTAAGTAATCTTGGCTAAAGATTAAAGACATGCTGAAGTAGGCTCTGAGGGAGTATATATATCATTCCACACAACTAAACATAGCTTCAAACCCAATCTGGATGAGTGATAAACCGTTTAAGTTAATTCTGAACAAAAGCAGTTCAGAAAATCATATGTGAGGGAAAAAGGCTCAATATAGGTTATATTTATTCTAATATGCAGTGGATAGCCTCTTGAGTTTCAATTAAATGTATCACTGGATGTGGTTAATATGTACATCCAATAATGTGTCTTTACATCTGGAATAACCTCAGTGATACAGAGGATTTGTAGCATGGCACATAGGACTGCCTACATATGTCTTAGAGTGCATGTATAAGGAGAGAGAAAAAGAAGCTATGCTTTACCTTCAGATGTATGTGCTATTTAATGGCAATTTTACTACATATCGATGCCATTTCATTGCATTGTGGAGATATCATTCTTCTAAGCTTCATCATGAAGCAAAATGTATTTTGAATTTTAAAGGGTAATAGAAGCATGCATCTTCCAGTGAAATTTGGTATTAATAATTCTCTGTTTGCTTCAAACACACAGCAAAAGAGATTCTATTTGAAGTTAAATTTCACATGAAAATAAAAGTCTCAGACCCAAGGTCAGATCACAGAATGCCAAAACCCAGAGCAATAGACTGGCTTTGATGAGCTTACTTCAATATGTATCTCTGTAACTAAGCAGAATATGGCTCAAAAATGCACAGTAACTACATCTCTTACAAATCTCAAGGGTTTTGTAATACCACACAATGATTTGATAGAAGAATATAAACATAACTAATGATAAAATATCCAAATTTCCAGTCAGCATATTTAGTTTTGTTGATATATGGTAAGTGGAAGTGAGCATGAACTGGAGTATTGTATTTACATTTTCTTGCTCTTAAACATATTTGTCTTCTGAGCAATCACCACAATTTATACACAGAATTTTCAGGTGCCCTTAACTGCTAGAACAGCTTTATAGATAAACTAGTTGATAAACAATAATTACAATTCAGAATAACAGGGTTTTTCCCAGCTAAAAAGAATATCTAGGTTCTGTGAGGCTGTACTGCAGTCCTTGTAAAAAGGTTTCTATAATATTTAGGGAAAATACAGGACATTTTATCCAGAATCCTGCAGAATCCTGCAATATACTGCTGTGATCAGTTTAGACTCTTAGCGTAAGGATAAATAAGCTAGTGCTTTTTCTGGTTTGTTCGTGATACCTGAAGATATTGTATGTTTTCTAATGTTTTTTTTTTTTTTTGTTACCCAAGAGGGTATTACTGTAGAATTGTGAGTAAAAGAAAGTATTCCAGAGAGTTTCTATGAGACTGGCATATATTTTGCTTAAATAGGGAATGCAATGCTGTAACAGTTATCAATACTCATGTTTTCAAGGAGTTGTGCACTTCTATTAATGGACAGTAGACAGAAAGTACTGGGAGCTTCTCAAATGACATATTACACTATTCAGCTTTGCAGTCTTGGTGCTTTGTTCTATCTGATATGACATTGTATTTTTATGCCACTATGGCATGAAAATTCATATAGGATTATTACTGCTCTTCAAAGATTAGCAGCAACAGTCAGAGTTGCTTTTGAGATAATTGAAGGGAATATAATTTAAATTCTTCCATCCTTCTCAGCAAGTGATTATTTATTTTCAAATATGCTTGTGAATGTATTATTTACAGTCCCTTATGTGTCCCCTCTGAAGCTGACTGCAGGCTCCAACTGATAAAAGACTGAAGTAGATGTAATATAGTTGCCAGAAAGCTTGATAAGAGAGATATGGCAGGAAAGCCAACTAAAAGGAAGGTATATAATAATAAAAAGGACTGTATAATTGTTTAAAGTACACCAGCCACTACTGAAAAGTATACATTTTTCTACTTAGACAGAACTGGAAAAAGATGGAAATTGTGCCACCTGCAAGAATTCCTTAGACTTGTATTGAAATTGGCTATAGAATTTAGCTATCTTCCTAATGGTGTTAAATTTCAGGTGGAGAAGAGTAACACAGAAGTTTAGTGCTTACTAGGTGACAGCAAAAACAGGGGGGGAAAGACACATTAATGAAAACAAAAAAGGAAATCTGAATCTGTCTCCTAAAAACTTAGCAGGAGAATAACAGATTAATTGTATGGTATTTGGAGTTCTTAGCTTTCCTACACATTGCTCAAAAGTGGAATATAACCTACAAGGATCCTGCAAATACAGCATCTGCAGGGTTTGTTGAAGCCATATTTATGTCTAGTTTTATTTACTAGAAGCTACTTCTGGTCACTGATTGTGGAGTTGAAACTAAGTTTTCAGTAAAAAACATTCTCTCAGTTAATTGTATTTGCTAATAATAGATCGTGCTGCTAAACATACTGCAACTCTTTAACAATGTGAGGATTCATAGTCATACTGTAGTACCTTATTGATTTCTGCTATTTATGCTGCTGCCATGAAAATAACAGTCACCACCAAAATTTTGTAATCATAGATAGTGCTAAACATTGTCACTCACCAGTTTTAACTTGTTGCAAGACCATGGTATTTAGGAAAATCCTCCCATTTTTCTATGCTTTCTTTTCAAGTAATTGTGAAAGAAAAGTTTCCAGTGTAGGGTGTTGGCTTAAGAGATGGGAAGAAAGATAGTAAGTAAACAAATCATTATAAATACATACTTTATTAATGCTGAGTTAAACCAGTAGCTTGATAATTCAGCTGTTTGCTGAAGTTATTCTTTTAAATTGCCCTACAGACAATGTGGCCTTATTTATTTGACTAAATAAGCATTAAAATGCAGGATAAAGGACCAAAATGAATATTCTATTCAGGCCTCTGTCAGTGGCAGCCATATTAACCCTTTCATAAACAAAATAAGTTTTGTTTTGAACTGGTTAATCCCCACTACTCTGATGGGAAGGTTCCTCCAGAAACTCACTCACTCATACCATTTTCAGAAATTGTTTACATCCCACATGATGAGATTGCATCCATTTATTACTTTGTTAATATTGCCCTTTAACTTAAAAAGTTCTTTTCCATTTTTTTGATCTCTCGTTTAAAGTATGTGAGGGAATAATCCCGTTCCCTTCCTTCTCTTTTGTGAGGCTAAACCAAAACAACTCTTTTTATCTTTTCCTTTCAGAAAGATTTCTTCTTCCCCATCAGCATCCTAGTAGGCCTTCCTTGCATCTGCTCCCAATTGAACTCACATGTCTTGAACATGGGTGATCAAACTGCTCATACTCCAGATGTGTTCCTGCCAGTCTGTTACACTGACAGTGATAGATATTCAAGACAGCTGCATCTCAGAGAGCTGTTGGAAAAACCGCAACATATTCTTTTGGCATGTTGACTAAAAACCAAATAAATCTTTGATGTTATCTGTGTTTATCTAAGGTTGGCTGTTTTGTTAGAGGCAGGAAATGGCTGACTGCATTAAAGACCACTTATTAAGTAATGTTTCAAATTCTGTTCTTAATTACCCCTGTCCAGGCTCATTTGAGTCAAACTGAATGAGCTTGTTCAGGTGTGATTGAAAGCAGAATTTGTCCCATTAAGTGAGTTTGATGCTCTTACAAATAGGTAGCATGTAATTCTGTGGGTTGGGGATAAATATATTCTCTGATTACCATGATTAAAATAGAAAACAGATTGTTCTGTTTTCATGAAGGTTGCCTAGATTAACCTGTGCTGCAGATGCACAACACTTGAAAAAACATCAGTGGGATGGCTTTGACTAAACTGAAATTCTTTGTACTTTCCTTGATATTAAGAAAGATGGAGGAATTTAATTATTTTTAAGGCAGTGGGCTGTGAATGGGTAGAAGATAGAGGATCACTCATTAAGGCCAGTGAGTAAAGTTAATGAGAAGATCATTTAATTTGCTGTTTTCTTGCTTCGAGCTTAACCTGTGCTACAGTCCTGCAGAGATCACTTGAGTCATTCATAGTTTTAATATGTCCCACAGAAAGAAGTTAAAGCCAGAAGTAGAGGGGAAGACAAATCTCACAACTTCACCTTCCTTTTTGTAAAAATTGGAATGACTAAGCTGAGCAAACAGATGTCTATGTCCTTGGTCCAATGTATCACAACCTGTGACAGGCGTAGAGCGAAGCAACTTGAAATTTTAGGTACCCAGTCTATACTTGGGCCTCCTTGTTACCCAGGAGCCCCACAATCCTACGTGATTTTGCTTGGAAATCTTGCACCCCTAGACCATTCGCAGCCCATCTGGGCTAAGCTTGGCTTCGGAGAAAAGCTGGTCCATCATGCACCAGAAGGCAGGGCTGCTGTGGAACTGCTGGCACCTACCAACCCAGGGGAGACCTGGTGGGGAGAAGAGCTATTTATGAGAGACCTGTCCCCTATTTTCTCTGTTGGGAATCTCCATCAGCTTCCCAAGGGCTGGACAGGTTCTTTTTAGTCCGTCTTTTCCACAATAAATAACCAATTTTCTCAAGTAAGCAGAACTTAGACTGCTGCAAAGTCCATAGTCCTCCATGGGATTTCTGTTGTTGCCTCAGATAATTGGAATAATTGATTTATTTTACCAAATTAAACATAAAATGAATGAAGTCAATATTGCATTTTTTGTTATTTGTTTTGATTGCAAATCACATTTATTTTACATTACATTTAAATTTTCAAGTTTCAGGTGAGATAAAAGGGGCATGTCGTACTTAGATCTGTTATTTCAGGCTGTCTATAAATTTAAGCAAACAACAACATTTATTTTTGGTTTTGTTTCTATATTTTTCTTTATACAAATTAAATTCAATGTGTTTAAATTACTAGTGTTATGTAGTATTCGCTCTTCAATATTTTTACTTTAAGCTTCTAATGCCATCTTAAGTCCTGGAAACTGGATTTTGTGCTGTAATTAATCCTACCAATTAGAGTCTTAAATTTAGACTGGAAATCTTTGCAAGCATCATTTCTCACAGTGTTTTTCAGCTTAACTTTCTGGTTGTAGCTGCATCAGGGTTTTGAAAATGGAGAAAGAGCCAACGAACACTGAAGAATGAAAATGTTCTTTAATTAGTGTTTGATAGATCTCTAAAAGTTTTAGCATATCCTGGGCTAACAAAGTTGTGAACTAGTGAAAAATTGTATTCATTGTTATTTTAATTAAATAGATTGACTCATCGTGCTGAAGTTTACATAGTTTCTGTAAGTCACTCATTACTTGTTTGTACTCTTGGAGGGAGATCCAGTGCTTCTAACACAAGTATCTGTGTTCCTATACAGTCAATAATGAGTTATGTATTCATCTGTATTGACTTTATAGGCAATAGTCATTGCCAGAGGGAAATCTAGACAATTTCTTCCCTGAAAGAATTGATAAGCATTGGAACAGGCTCCCCAGGAAAGTTGTGGACCATCCCTAAAAGTGTTAAAAAAAATGACTGGACATGGCACTTTGCAGTATGGTTTTGTGGGCATGGTGTTGTTAAGTCAAAGGTTGGACTTGATGATCTTGGCAGCCTTTTCCAACCTTAATGATTCTATGATTATGATTCTGTGATTGAAGTTCTGTTTTATCTCATTCACTAGATAATTAGTGCAAATGTTGGGTATTGGTAACCAATGGGGCCCAGACCACTTAATCCTTTTCTGATGATAGATGTCCAGATAAACAGGAATGGATCCCTTCTCTCCTCTTTCAGAAGATAGCTTACATATAAGGCTTTTGGTCACTCAGGGAAGAGTTTTCATTATGCCTCTAGTTTGATGCAGTGACTTATGGTTGAACAGCTGTACAGTCAGGAATGCAAAGCAATAGGGCCAGAAGGAGAAACAGAAAAAATAGATCTCTTTTGTTTTCTAACCAGAGATGGACTCATGTAAATTCCATATATATTTTGTGGAGGATATTAGGGATACTTGAGCTCCACTCTCCTAGCTGGATGCTCTTCCTACAAGGCTTAAAGCAACCTATTCTTTTCCACTGTTCCTCTTAACAAACTCCAACCTCACTCTGGCTCCTGCCCCAGCAGCTATGTGATTTTGGTTTAACAAAAATCGTGCAGACCTCTGCAATTACCTTTATCATTATTATAAGTGCCCTTTTTTGAGATGTGTTCTGGGTCTGACAGCATGCCCTGAACTGATCCATCTTTAAGTCTTAGCACTAAACCCAGACATGAATACTCCTGAGCCTTCATGACTTCTCAAAGTGGCTTTCAGTGAATGTAGACATGCCCCTCATTCATTTTGATAATTTGAAGCCACATGGGAAAGCAGGTGGAACTGTGGAAAATCAGGGTGTGTTCATTGTGGAGGGATAGAGTATTTTGTTACTTAAGGCACTGTCCTCTCAAGCATCAAAAGTAAAATTGCATTCAGGGTTGGCAGGACATAGTGAACCTTGCAACATGTGCTGAACTTGTGTTTCCAGTAGTGTGTGACAGACAAGAATGAAAAAATAGTTTTTTATACAGCAGTTGTCTGTTTCGAGCACGCCAGAATTATAGAAATTGATAACAAAGTGCATCAGATCAGGCATCGTTTTACATTTCTATTTCTGAGTTGAATGATTCTAATCAGTGGATTCCACCATGTCAGTACTTGTCTGTGCAGATATCTGTTCCTTCAGTTACTGTCATGAATTACTGAACAAATCCATTCAGTAAGTAACTTTAAAGAAAATGTTAACTGGAAAGTTATAAAATAAGTCACTGTTTTTATGAATTTTATTTATAAAATACGCATCCATCACACAGTTAAATGTTTCTGTTTTCTATTTAGTTGGTCATTGGGAATACTTTATGGTGAATTTTGAGAATTGATCTATAAATGTCATATTTTAAAACAGAGACGTAGATATTTCACTAGTCTTTTAATAAGTCAGAAGGCTGACTGTACTGTATTCATGTCAGGAAAGCTGGAAGAACTTAAGCTCTAAGTGAAGATGTTTTTCCATAGTATTTAAAGTGACTAGTAGATCTTTAGGTGTATTCTTTTACTGTATACAAATATGGTACATCTTGCTATTTAATGACATCATAGTTCAACAGGTCCAGTGTAAACTAGATGCTACAGCTGTTCCTTAAGAAGAGACAATAAATGTGTGATGTATTTTATATGATAATCCATGTGCTGTTTAACTTTATGCAACAGCAAATAAATGTATTCAAGCAAAGGGTACCCATTATAATTTCTCATTGATATTCACAGAAATGTAGCCTCAAAGAAAATATAAACTATTTGTTAGCAAGTTAAAGGAAAACCTTGTATTATCCCATTTCCCCAGAATTATATAAGGGGCAGTATCAAAAGCAGCTGCACATAGATTTAAATATCTGGGCCAGATTTCCATTCCAGCCTTGCATAAGCCTTTTCCCATATGGCCTTTCTCACTTAATATTTCATCAATTACAAGTTTTCCTTTCCCTTATATATGTGCAGGGATGCGACTTAACCAATTTAAATGGATTCTGCCTAGATCTGGCTGATACCTCTTGCAGAAAAAAAGCAAGGAAACAAAATGGCTCCAAATTTTTCAGCATTAACTCTGAGTTGTTCCTGAAGAGAGAGATAGAGTTCCTACTTACTTGTAAATTTGTATACCTAGAGTTAAACTAGCCCAGTAAGAATGTGACAAAAATGGTATATTCACCCTCTGGTAATATGGTTCCAGATGGAGCTGCAAGCAGTGTTTGTTTCAATTAATACATGAATTATAAACAACAATAATCAATCTCTTTGCTTGATTTCAGAACTCTCTCAGAAAATGACAGTACCTCTTTACCACCTGCTGACTCCTGCACCAGTCCTACTAAAATGGATTTGTCATTTAGTAAGACTGCCAAACAGTGCCTAGAAGAGATATCTGGTGAGTAACAATAAGTCAGGAGAAGACTGTGAACTTATTTATTTACATCTGTTTCTTACCAGGAGCTTTGTGATGGATTTAAATAATACTTCGGACCTCTGATCATGAGTGGTTTTAAATAAGCAGAAAATTTGGGTCATGCACAGTTAGTGCTTCAAATCCACTGTTCTTTTATTTGAACAGACTCCTTCTGTTCAAATACCCTCTTCATCATTTTGCAGAAACTGGGCTTTCACAAGTTGGGGTTTCAAGTCATTATTATTTTATTCAATCATCTGAATGTTCCAAGAGGAGATATGGAAAGTCGACTTCAGGATGTTTAACACTTACATTTAATATCATCAAATATCAGAATATCAGAACTGAGGCATAGATTACATAAAATGCATTTTGCTTTGATAAGTTAATCTATATTCAGAAAAAAACCAAGTCCTTGCTATTGATCCTGACTTTTAAGCTGCTGCTAGAGCTAAGCTGCTAAAGGTTGTGCTCTGGAATTCCTTGTAAACATGGATTAAAGTCCTTATTAGTCTTTATTAGTTTACAAATGTGAGAGGTTTTTTTTAAAAAATCATATTGGTGTAAGTCCCCTGAAGTCAACAGGGCCATGCTGATTTACATCAGCCCAGGATCTGTCCATGGCTGTGCCTATTGATGTAAAAAGGAAAGTATGTCACAGCTCACTTTCTCATCAGGAGTGACTTGCACTGTAGGGTTGGCTGCAAGTAGTTCCAAAGGGACTCTGCCAGAATTGGTTTTGGGTTGATTTTTTTGGTTTTGTTTTGTTGTTATGGATGTTTGTTTGGGTTTTTTTTTTTTGGGGGGAGGGGGGGTGTTGTTGTTGTGTTGTTTTGCTTTATTTTTCATTAGCATCCTTACCCCTCTTAGAATTTTTATGAAAATTAAAGATGAAATCCTGCCCCACTGATTTTACCTATAGTTCTGCCTTTTAACTCTGAATTTTTAACATTCAGATGGATTTATAATGAGTCATGTGGTTCTTCTTACACAGGATATAACTCACTTAAAGCACTAATTGGACACATCACTCTAAAATTATCTCTCCACCAGAAGGGAAATCAGATGCCCAAACTTTGTGGGTACTGCCTTGACATTTAGCTGACTCATACTGAAACTGAGGTTTTATTCTGGTTTTTCTCAGTCCCTTTGGAAGTTTTCTGAGTCTAACATCCCTTATTTGCACATCCAGCTTATGTCATAAATGTGTCACCCTGAAACATGGTGAAATGTTCCCTGGAGCTGAACCATACCTGTTAAAAGTAAAAAAAAAATCTTATTGCTCCAGAAATCAGACTCCTTAGTCTTAAATGTACAAAGACTATAATTGAAACACACAAATCCAAAGACACTTAAAGGAATAATCCACAGAGATGCTAAAAAAAGCCCAAACAAGTCAGTACCTGCTGCAATGATCAAACAGGACATCATGTCTCATGGCCTTTTACTGTTCTGAACAGAAATGGAACAGCATCAGAAAGAAGAAAATGGCATAAAGAACACTAGACATCAGAGATAATTCTAATTTGATTCTTTAGACTCTGGCATTAGCAGTTTATTGGCAGAACCACTGGGAAAATGTTGTCAATGGTTTGCTGTCTACAGAGGAAAACAGATGTGTATCACCCATGTTGCTGTTAGCAAGAAAAGGAATAAATGGATCAAGTTCTATTTTTGCTGAAAAAATAGTTGCCTGCATTGGTGACCTACCATGGTGATTCTGTCATTGGTGAATCTGCATGGATACAAGTTCATGTGATAGTTGTTCAGAGGAATATTCCATGATGAAATAGCCATGAGAAATGACAGTTAAATTCTTTTACTGAAGAGTATCTTTATTCTGGTATGATCAAGGGATTCTACCAGTAGTAGCAAAGAGATAGGCAAGGTTTATGCCCTTGATCTGGTCACTTATTTTCAGGATATTAAGAGATGAATCCAATTTCTTTCATTTTAATATTACCTTTTTCCTGAAATCTTCAACTGTTGCTATGGATAGGCACCATCTTGATATTATCTTGAGTTTCTTTTGCAACTTGGTAGCCAACACACTAGCACAATATATTTGTATGGAGTAAGGATCATGCAAATGCCTGAGCATCTGTGGAAACCACTAAACAGCTTAGATGAGTGTGCTCATAAACTGCTGTCCCATCTGTATTGTGTTTCTGCTTCATTAGTCTTTATTCTTTTGAAAGTGCCAAATATTTACAACTAATGCTGACATGCCCAGGACTAGGATATCTTAGCCCATATCATTTTATAAACCGTTTCTCTATTTTCAGAATATTTACACACTCCTGTTTGTTGTCTCTTGGCTGAAGATTACTGCTTCCATAACCAGCCAAGCAGATCATATCAGAGCTCCTAGTCCACTTCAGGGCAAAATCAGCCAATTGATCTTATGCTAATGCTTTAAGCATATCTCATTCAAGATTTCCTCATAATATAAGCAAAAGTTGGATGTAGAAAAAATAATTGAAAATTATTTAGTAGTAATTGCTGAGATACCATTCTCCTGGAGTGATTCAGAATACCAAACCGAAGCTAATTTCCTTGCTCTAGTGGTGAAAAATCATGGCTTTGCTTTTTGTGCCCAGCAAGACAGTTCACAATCCTTTGCTATTGTCTCAACAGCAGTGATGGGGAAGTAGAGGGTAAAGTGAGAATCTACAGAGGTAGTTTCCAGTTCTTCTCTACTCTGTCTTTCTTCTCTAAGGAAGCACTGATTACCTTTACATCCTCTCCTGTCTTCCAGCCCAGCTGGTGAAAGGCAAAGTCAGAGCCCAAGCTGCTTGTTTCCTGCCCACTGCTTTCTATGTGATAACTTGGTTTTACTTGCACAGGCATGAGAGGAGAATGGTGCTGGAAGGCAAGGGAGGTGGGGATGCTGGTGTAGGCACAGACTCAGAAGTGTGGTCCTGATAAACTGGACAACCTCTTTATTTTTAGCTTATCCCCATAAATCTACTGCTGTAGGTAATTATGCACATGGCTTACGCATAAGGCCAGTTCTGCATCTTGGTAGTGCTACTGTAAATCTGGGTTTCTTCACTGTTCCTCTGTCTCTGCTGGGAATTTGTTCCAGATGTGATCTGAAGTGCTTCAGGCATTTTTTCCTACTTTTGTTTTTTCCCTCTGAATATTCCACAGGTCAGCTAGAGTAGTCGCAGGTGTTTCCACAGTGCAGATCAGCAGTACAGCACATGCACAGCAGTTTTGGTACTTCCTGCACACACTGAATCTCCTCTGTGTAACACACTGAAAGAGTCCCATTTGTAGGCATGAGTCAGTTGTGGGGTAGTTTTGTTGTGTTCTGCGTGTGGTAGACTTGTTGCACACATGGCACACAGATGTATAGGCCTCAGTCCAGTAAATCCCAGACACAAATTTGAGAGTCCTAAGGACCAATTCTGCATTTATTTACAAATGCTATTTCTTGCATGTACTTTATGTACCAATTACCTCAACAAGACTATTCAGTATCTATGTTTCTGCAAAACAGACAGGATTATAAAACAAGAATGAAAAGAAAGGCTAATAAAGTAATCTAGTTTGGTTGTTGTTATTCATGGTATGGCTAGAAATGAGTTGTTCAGATTTTCTTACACAGTATTTCTACTCGTAGCTGTGACATTTATCAGTCTCTGCAGCAAGGTTATTGGAGAAGTATTTGGTAAGTTAATTATTAATAATCCAATGTAAACTGCATATGTCAGTAAGTACAAAATATTGTTTTATTAAATCAGTGATAGTGTTTGGCTATAACAAGTGTTGACATGTTCAAAGAGCTTAATGCAAAGTGTTTGATTAAGTAATTATTCATGAATTTACAAATATTGGCTAATTAAAATATTAAAAACATGAGGGATGAAGCAGAAATGAGAGAGTACTTTCAACAGTTTATAGGCCAATATCAATGGTAGAATTAGCATAAAAAGCTTTCAGTGTTACTGTGCTTCAGTTTTTTGCTCTCTGAAAGAAATAATTAATAAGCGCAGAAATAGTTTACAATTTTTTTCAAGTAAGCTTAGCTGAAGAGATTCATAATCTTATGCATTTGCAGATCTGTTACATAATTCATTTGTAGGACTCCAAACTATCCACTGAGACTTCAAAGAAAGTCTTATCTGGCAGCAAAATTTGCCCAAAGATTATTAGTTCTTAAAATCATTTTTACAATTCCTTTCATGAAAGAGACAGTAAAAATAAAGTAATATGTTACACTGACTGTGATGGCCTGGGGAAGTTCCCCACGCTGTTGCTGATGTAAACATACTCCTGCATGGTAGGTGGAGAACACATTGAATTGAAAGGTAGTTGGAGAATAATGCTGTGTCATGACATTTGTTTTCCTCTGGTCTCCTTTACTTTCTTCTTAGCTTAGAAAGATGTATTTTCTTGTTGCTATATTTCATCCTTTTAAAAGGGAGGGATGAGCTTTAGAAAATTATTTTTCAATAAATAAACCCAAGAATTTTCCACGTTGCAATTTTTTTTGGTGTCAAATGACACCTTACAGAGAGATGTGGTAAAGCACAAGGATAAATTCATTGTTCTTTCTGCTGAGCACTTGTTCCAAGATACATAAGTATCTGCTGTAATTGAGGATGATCGCAATGACCTGTCTACCAAGTTAGACAATGGGAATAATGGGAGAAAAGTTCATATAACTTTGTAATTAAGGGCTGTTGTATAGTGTTTGTATGCATGAAGGCTGAATGAAGGTTGCCCATTTAGCCTCAGAACCTCCATATAAAAACTTTGGACTCATGGTGTTTTTAATGTATTTAGAAAAGGAAATGAGGCAGGTGGATGCTGGAGCTGCCTGCTACCCTCACATGGCTCTCACACAGTTCAGGTGTCATTCCCATTCCAGTATGATAGTTTGTGACCTGTGTCCTGCTGGAGCCAGGCTGCAATGAAGAGCTCAGTTGAGAGAATGCACAGGTCAGCAGAGACACTGAGACCCACTGGGTTGC